TGGGTTTTGATTTAGAAAACTGTATAATAGTTATCCGAAAAAATGTGTCTTTTCTGATAAAAAGGACTTTAAGACTCAATTTTTCCATTAAATTGCGAGGAAGAAATTTAATAGAATTTAAAGTAAATAAATTATTCATATATTTATTTTTAAAATAAAACCAGTTTTTGCGGATTTTATCGCGTATAGTAACTTTTTTTGTTTCCCGACGTTTCGACCACTTTACAGCAACCATGGTCACGGGAGGGACTGAGGTCTTCGGCGTCCCGATGTAATAGTTACCCGGAGTTATTTACAGATTAAAATTAATAATTTTTGTCCCGGTCTACACAGTATGAACTTATAGTATCTTGAAGTCTTGCAGTTGTATGCTTGGTTTGGGTTTTAATTTTATTAATTGTACGAACGTCGTCGAAAACCTTAGTCCCCCCGTGACCATGTGTGCTGTAAAGTGCTCGAATCGTCGGGAATATAAAAAAGTTAATATACGCGATAAAATCGGTAAAAAATAGTTTTATTTAAATGTGTAATGTTCGCGTAAATATGCGAAATCGTTACATATTTATTTTTAAAATTATTATATTTTCCACTCATTTTAAATTTAAGTTCATGAACTTATATGAATATTTTTGACTTAACTGGCATCTCCATTAAAGTTACCACAGTCATACCACATACAGCTTAGTACATGACCTAAATAAATTAAAATTAATATAAAAATAAAATTAGCTATTTTTATATCTTAAAACCCTGATTTAGTTAGTACTTAAAACGTACTCAATAATAGCACATTTTATTCAAAATCCTCTCTAATATGTAAAAAAGAGCGTTATATTCATAATAAAATAATATTAAAATACGCTACGGCCAAGGAGTGTTCAATTCAATTTTGAGGTAGCATGCGCTACTACTACTGCTGCTCGGGCGCCAAGTAAAAAGGTCTGACAATAGTTTTCATTGTGCATAAGTGGATTTGGATTACCATTAAACCAAATTCATATACTAATATTTTTCCAATTTTAATATTACATCGTTTCTGAACGCAAGGGAGCTTACCTCTCCCTTCTTACATTACTTGAGTATTTATATATTTTTTAATTTACACCTTGAATAATGCCTTGATTTAACAAAGGCAAGAAGTTAGTGAACGTGGCGAGAGAAGAGACAGCAGAAGGCTGTAAACGATTTAAACTTAATCAGTGGGCACATTGGACACGACTGGCTCCCCGTTCTTTAATAATTGATTGACTTTGGTCTTGATCATAGTCTATGGATATCATAAGTGATTCTGCATCAATTTACAAAATTTTATCAACTCCAAAAGTTAAGCCGGATATTCAAACTCGATATATTACACCAAAATAAAGATACACAATGAATTCACCTAACTGAAAATGAATAAAACGCTTTGAATATTATTTGTTATGAAGAAGTGGTACCATCTATAAGCGATTTCAACTATTTAAAGTATTTTAAATAAATACAAGTTTTCAAAGATAATCTCATTATTATTACTTCCAATTTTCGAATAATTTCGTGTCAAACGTTAAAAAAAAATTAGGAAAATCCCAAAGTGCACGAATCATAATGATCGTGAAAGAATGTAGAAAAAAATTCTCAATCAACAATAGAAAAACTTTTTTTTAATTTTACTATGTTATTGTAATAAAATTGGTAAGAATTACCTCGCACGTATCCGCTCAATAAAATAAAATCATGTGTCTTAAGTGATCGCTCTTAGCAGTCAGCCACCGGAGAATCTACATCACCTGAGGATGCCTCGTGTATAGGCGAAACACGTGTCGTATTTACGTTGATAGTGTGTCTTTCCTAGTTTTGTGGTGTTGGGAGTAGTGGTGCTGGGATTAGTGGTGATAGGATTATTGCACGCAATTTAATGAGAACGGGAGGTGCTCTTCAAACTAGGTAAGACACATCATTTTATTTTATTAAGCGGTAATTCTTGCGAGGTAATTCTTACCAACTATATTATACTCGTAATGGATTTCCGCAAGGTAATTCCTGATTCTATTATTTATTATTTCTGTTATTATTATTGAGATTCAATTTTTACTATTGTTAATTGACGAAACTTTTAAAAGAAATTATCTTAAAATGATCAGAAATCAACTTTAATATTACTTTAATTTAATTTTATCGTATGAACTAGAGTTTTTTTACCTGACTCGTTAATATATTTTTGTCTCATCAACTTAATTTCATATTTAATAAGTTTTCAACTATTCATAACCAGCATTTTTATTTAGCATTCACCAAAGTACACCTCCCAAAGGTCACTCTATTAAGTCTAGAGGTAAGATCTCGTCATAACTAACAAAACGAAGCCAAACTCGGCGTACCTCGTTCTCTGCGAAGAGTTTCAATAGCAGATATCGAAGTACACCTTCCGAAAGTCCGAAACGTTACTCTCACGTTTTTATATAAATCCTGCGTACTTTTAGCAAAACAATATATTGTAATGAAAATCTGTGATTATAAAAATAATAATATTTTCTTGCCTTGGTCAAGTATGTATGAAATTTGGTTTTTGGAATATTTTGTATTTCTACAGCGATATTGTATTTCAACATATAATAATCATTAATGTATGTTGAAATATATTGATATATTATGATAATCGTTTTTTATTTCTTTCAATGTGCATGTTATATCATTTATATGTTCAATGTGACTATTATATACGACTTCATGCGACAAAACGTTGAATTCTTGATTTTTAGGCGCTAGTAGAACATACCTACGCGCCTTGAGCTTAAGGCATGCATTATCAGAGGTCTATAACTATTTTTAAAAAGGCAGTTTAAATAAAATTATATCAGTAGTCATGGGACTATAAAGTGCAAAATAAAAGTTATTTGCACGCATCATTTTCCTCAATGTATTATTTAATGTGTTTTTTTAAAACATCATTAATAACTTTTTAAATTTTATATAGATTGTTGCGATATATTTTAGAAAAATTATTGATACAGCGAAGCAAAATTAAAACCGAAGATACAGCTTGACGTCTGGAACTAGAACTCAGAATTTGGAGATACATATAAAGCGGAGATATATATTGAAGATACATATTATATTCGTCATTTTAATTTATTTTCTCTACAGTATTTAATATATTGTTTTACTTTATCTGAATAACTTTTCAGATTTCTTTTAGCCTGAAATAATTTAAGCTTGGTTAAATTTTAATTAGTTATGAAACTTCGAAGAAACTACTTTACTATTTACGAAAAAAAGGAAGAATAAGAACATTTACTGTATTTAAACAAAAAGCCTATGATTTACTAAATTTGCTACGTTGTTGTATCTTGAACCAAACATAACAGCGTACAAAGGCATGCTTTTTTTTCTTCAACTTATCACTGTTCTTAGCTAGTAAATTTAGAATTGAAATGTATACTTGATAATTTTAATAATAGGTTGGTTAATTAATTGTATGCTAATAAATGTACAACATGTAATACTATGATATATACGTAGCCTATTGCATTAGAAAATGATACACGGTGACTAAATTAATTGGTAATATCGCTTCAAGTTTAATTTCATACATTTAGAAAAACTACTTTATTTTTAAACTCACTTTACTCTACTATTTATTCTCTTACTCTACTACTGTCTTATTAGAAATAATATTAAATGGATGTTAATAATTTAAAGTCCATTTATATACTTAAGGTCAACAATGTAGAATTTATATAATGTATGGATATTTCGCCTATAATTATAGCTTATTAAGAATATATATATATATATATTATATATATATATATATATATATTGGTATAATTTTAACTTATTAAGAATCTTTATTTATTTAAATACGATATTATTATACGAGACTTAGTATGCCAAATTAATGATCATACAGTCTACTCGATGGTAAGATGAGACTGTACCCACATATACTAATATTTATCTCCGATATGGAATCAAATTGCAGATATCTTGTATCTTTTTGAGACCAAGATGGAATGCCTTATTACTAACATAATGAGTGTCCAGTTCTCGTCGGGCGGCATTTGAACATTTGGTAAGCATTCTGTGCAAACATGATATTTCCCTGGTCGAGCTGACCTATTTCAAAACATTTTTGACTAATATTACTGCCCATTAAAAAGCTCCTGCTGAACGTGAGTCTGTCCCATAGATTCGACTACTAGTATCTAATAAAATACAATATAATACTAATATTCTTTATTCTATACAAAGAAAAGATTATGATGAAAAATATATACAAATACAAGGAAAAAAATAGAAAGTGGCCTCATGGCTATGCAGTAATTTCTTTCAGAAAGAATGCGGTATTAAATAAAAGGCGAAAAAAGAATAACGTTTAAAATCATATCAATCAGGCCATAACATACTGAATTATATATGGGCTTAACTTCAGAGGGTTAATGGGAAAAAGTTAGTCTTCATGCAGGTTAAATTAAAAAAAATTAGTATAAATTCGAAAGGTGTTTTGTTTTGGTCACATTTTAATGCTGACTTTTATTTTGGCGTTGTTTTTAATTATTGAAAGAGGATTAAAAAATTAATGTAAGTACAAACACTTATAATGTAAGTACAGCCTGCAACTCGCCAATTAAATAATATTTAAAAAAAGGAACCTCACATATAGAGATATTCTGGTTAAATTTTTTTTAATATTCTCATTTCTTGACTAGATAAAAATATTGGATTTGCAGGATTGCAGATAGCTCAGGAACGTGCTTTGTTATTTCTTGGGGAAAGCCCATATATAGCAGTGGATTTGTGATGGGCTCTAATGATAATGATTATTATTATTATTGATACGGAGGCGCTGCTCTACGAAAATTTTAGTGTATTATTGTCAAAGTTTCAATTATTTTTACAAAACAGTATTGTTGATGTTTATAAATTATATCTATAAATTATCTCTTCCATTTTCTCTTCATGGCGATGTTTGACATCTTAGATTATTATTTAGTAATTAAATTTACATTATTACTCTTTTAAATATTTGTCTGTCGTAACATGTTGAAATAAGAATAAGCTGATGCCATGTTCTGTAAGAAAAAAAGCTTTTAATAAGGCTTCCTTCAGTTAAATCGCCAACTCAAAAATAAAACTTACGGTATAAAATGTCCGAACAGATACTTCGTCGAAACCAGGGGCACTGAGTTGAAGTGGTCGTAATGATTTTTGCATTATTAACACCATGTAAGGTCGAATAACCCGGCCAATGTTCCAAAAAGGAATATCCAGAAAAGCGTCCCCAACTGATCTTATCTTAAAAATGAAATCTCCCTTAAATTAATCATTATTCAAAAATACTATTAGATAACAAGTTGTGAAAATTGTACAAATGACTTCAATATAAATAAAATGAAGTCATCATCAATATAGTCTAAGTCAATTATTAAGGATAACTCAAAAATTCCTGGTCATATCTTGACAAATTTATATGGGACCACTTTAAAAGCATCAGTTTTCAAAATAGATTCAGCTATAAAAACTTTCTAAGGTAACACACATTAAAAATACAGTCTAATAGAGCCTTTTTTGAAGTCGGTTAATAAATAAACATAAATTTCAAATAAAGTTATACTTACCTTCATGCCAAGAATAGTGCACAAGTAACTTGGAATAAATACTTCAATTATAGTTCCACCACAAAGTAACATTAATATTCCGTTGATTTCTCCTACTTTTAGTTTCTGTAAACAAATCCGTTTATTTATTTTTTATAGCAATCCCAATACGAGATTTCTTCTTTTTAAAAGGCCGGCAATGCACCTGCTATACCCCTGTTCATGGGCGGTGGTCGTTTTACCACCACGTAAGCCGCATGCCCGTTTGCCTCTTCGTCTATAAAAAACGGTACTTCAATGGCTAAGTACTAGTCGTAAAAGTACACGAGCACACTGCTGGCACCAATCAAATGCTAATTAAGTGTTGATTTACCACAAACTCGGCGGTGAAGTAAAACATCGTGAAGAAACCTGTATACTTGTGTACGTGTTGCATGTCTGACAACATTAAAAATGTGTGAAGTCTTTTACCTAAAACACTCTCAGAGGTGAGAGGAGGCCTACTATTATTTTACTTGTTACCTACTATTAAACCTTATTGCTTTCCCCATTACACTAGATTGGTATATGAACTAGTAGAAATATAATAGAATAAGATATTTAAGTAAAATAAAATATAACACTTAGTGTAGTGGCATCGTAAGAAAACCGGCTCCACCACCATATCACACCATGAATATCGCAAGAGATAACAGAATGAAATGCAAACAAGAGATAGGAAGCAACATCTTCGCGTTAACAACGTAAAATAATAAAAAGCTTTTGGTAAATCCAAATGTGCAAGCCACATACGTCAATTTTTTCAACAAACAACAGAGTTCGAACCCTATCCAACTAACCTATCCAACTGCATAGAGGTGTGCAGAGAGAAAGGGTGACGTTATAACGCCGAAATTCTTCACCGCTGCATTGGAAAAGGTTTTCAAGCTACTGGACTGTAAAGGATACGGTATTAACATCAATTGCGAGTACATCACTCACCTTCGATTTGGCGACGATATAGTCCTTATGGCAGAATCGCTGGAGGACCTAAGCACTATGTTAAATGACCTCAATGATGTCTTCCGACGGATAGGTTTTAAGATGAACATGGACAAAACAAAGATCATGTTTAATGTCCGTGTCACACCTATGCCGGTAGTTGTTGGGAGCACTATGCTCGAAGTTTTTGACGAGTACGTTTACCTGGGACAAATAGTCTGACTAGGTAAGTCCAACTTCGACCGAGAGGTCCCAGTTGCATCGACGGTTTCAACTTGGCTGGGCAGCGTTCGGGAAATTACGACAAATCTTCTCGTCAGGTATACCTCAAACTCTGAAAACTAGATTGTACAACCAGTGATGACTTACGGATCTGAGACGTGATCCTTCACTGCTGGCCGTATGAAGGCGCTCAAGGTTGCTCAGGGAGCTATGGAGAGGGCTATGCTTGGAGTTTCTCTGCGTGATAGACTCAGAAATGAGGATATCCACAGTAAAACCAGAGTGATCGTCATAGCCCAACGGATTGGTAAGCTGAAGTGGCAATGGACCGGCCATATAGCTCGAAGAACCGATAACCGATGGGGAAGAAAGGTTCTCGAGTGGCAGCCTAGTACCGGTAGGCGTAGTGTAGGGCGACCCCCCTAGATGGAGTGACGACCTGGTAAGACATGCAGGAAATCGATGGATGCAGGTGGCTCAGGACCGTGCTTTGTGGCATTACTTATGGGAGGCCTATGTTCAGCAGTGAACTTGTGAAGGACTGTAATGATGATGATGATGAATTATACTTAAACACCATTGTACAGACATAGTATTGCAAAACAAAGGTTATTATTATTAACAAGTAGTTATTTACCGATTTATTGTTGCGGTATAATACATCATTTTGAATATTTCTATTAATACTAATGTTTCTCCTAATTGTTAATACATGATTATTTTCTTTCCCTAGAACCGTGTGTAACATTATATAAGTAATAATATAATTTGATATTTGACATCGATAAAATTATATAATTTTTCTTATATTCGGCGCGTTCAAAATATGTCTCGAACCTGCTCCGAAACTTGGCTGATCGCTCGTTGTACCCCTGACTTCTTTCTGCTCTGACACTCGAAGATGTTGTTAACTCACCGATGTGGTTGGGCTTGTACTTCCTCGTACGCTTCTATTTCTTTCATTTTTATTTTTGATAAAATTGGTGATCTTCTTTTAAAGGAATTTCATTAAGATGTTATTTGGACCTTGAAATCCTCTTTCTTAAAACTTGTCAATCCTGATTTGATATCAATGTTACTAGAGCTTCTTCTATAATTTATTCTTCAGGTCTTTCTTCATAAACATAAGAAACATAAACACTCACGCCTGTCACCCAGACGGGTATGCAGAGACTACAGACTTATTTTGTAATGCCACAAAGCACGGTCATTCATTTCTTTCGCATTTGGCACGATCCTGACACACTTCTCTCGCTTCCTCCACATTCATATACCTACGTATACATGCTCGTCGGTTAAAGGTTCTCCTAACTTGGCCCATTTTTTATATATCGTCAATTTGGTCGATAAACTTTTGCCTCGGACGTCCCTTTCCGACTCTTCCATTCACTTCTGCAACATAAATTTCCTTCGTCACTCTTTCATTATTTATTCTTTCTACATGACCAAACCACCGAAGTTTTTCTTTCTTAATCCTGGTCACAGCATCATCTTGCAAACCACACTCTTCTTTTATTACACAATTTCTCACTCTGTAACTCAGATTCAGCCCTAACATACTCCTTAGCGATCGCATTTCTACTGCATTTATTCTACTCACGTGCTTCTTCTGCCACACCCAACTTTCACAACCATACGTTAAAGTGGGGACCAACACAGCATTGTGAATTTCTATACGTACCTTTCCTGACACATTCTGACTTTTCAAAATGGAGTGTAGAGCCCCATTTATTTTATTTCCTGCATTCACTCGTCGTTCTATATCTTTTTCATATCTTCCATCCCTGCTGAATACACTCCCCTTCTATTCTTATTTCACATATCGGTTTACTTTCTTCTCTTTCAAAAATCATAACTTTGTTCTTACTTGCGTTGACATTCATACCTCTTTCTTTTAATGATCTGTTCATTAATGAAAACATCATTTGCAACTCGGCCGCCGTCAACGCAAAAATAACTTGATCATCGGCGTACAAAAGGCATTCGACGGTTAACTCACCAATTCTTAATCCGCATTCTTCAACTTTCAAATTTTCTAAAAAACTGTCCATTAAAAGGTTGAACAGCCAGGGGGTAGCCACATAGCCCTGCTGACACATTTATGGATGCCAAACCTGTCCGAGTAGACCCCGTTGATCCTAACACAACAAAGCATTAGAGTCCCTATAAAGTGACTTTAATGCCTGTATCAACCCATCGCTCAACCCAAATTATTTAGTGTTTGCCATAACATATCCCTGTCCACTCTATCGTAAGCCTTTTCCAAGTCCATGAACGTACAAAAAACTCTTTGGCTTTTGGCCAAAAACTTCTCCATGATCGCGGAGAAGTTTTTACATTAAAAAGACTTGATATATAAATCCCATTCCTTTCTAAATCCCGCTAGCACATACCAAATTTTTATTTCATGACCCTTTCAATTAGTACCTTAGTATACAGTTTTCTTACAATACTAAGAAGCCTGTTACCACGGTAGTTTTTATAGTCTTGCTGCAACCCTTTTCTCTTATATATTGGGACTATCACAGCTTTGCACCAGTCTTCCGGTACCCACTTCCGTTTCCAGCATAAATTAAACAAGGTGTACAGCAGACTTGCTACCACTTCCTTTCTAGCCCTTAGCATTTCGAGTGAAATTATATCATATCCGGCTGCCTTACCTGCTTACATGCTTTTTATTACTTTCACTAATTCTTCTTTACGTATTTCCCTAACTCATTCCTCTATTCTTTCGGAATTTCTATTTCTGGTATTTAGTTCATACGCCGTCTCGTTACTCATAAACACGCTTTCAAAATATTCTTTTCATCTCTTTAAACTTGAAACTTCTTCAACCATACCGACATTCTACCAACCAACCGAAATTCTAGGCAGTTTTGAATATCTCCTGACAATTCTTACGAGTTTTGAGAACTCTTTTGTTTAGTTTTGCCTGGAAGTTATCCGATAGGTACTCTTCTATAATTCTTATCCATTCTTCGCTGTTTTTTCCTTTCAACTACTTCTTTTACCCTCGTATTTAGATATCTAAAGACTGCCTTTTTTCTTCAATATCATTATTCGTACCGCCAGAATGACCAGCTTTTGTTAGCCATACTCTCTTCTTTGCTTCAAACTACATACGTACCTGATCATCCCACCATAACGTATTATTTTTACTTTCATTCCTTCTCTTACACCACCTACTTCGATAGCTGCATGTACTAAACCTTTCTAAACATTTTGCCACAAATTCTCCAAGTTTAACTCATTCATACATAATTCATCCAAACCACTTATATTTTCTTTCAGTCTACAATTGTATTTGTTTTTCTTACCCTTATCTTGTAAACTTTAAGTTCTATTACGCTGTAATTCAGTGGTAGACACAGATGTCCGATGCCGCCAACGTTTGAATAGACCATTAGTTCGGCATATAACCAAATAATGATCCATCCCTACGTTGGACCCCCCGATAGACCCATGTATTTACCTTGCTTCTATCACCACTTGTTTCCCAAGTATACATGTAAATCTTTTTATGACGAAAAAAATGTTGGTCACAAAAAAATTCTCGTTCTCAAAGATTCACATTTACACTTTCATCACCAAACGTTCCCAATATCCTTTCATAACCAAGCCTCTTCACCCCAATCCTTTTATTAAAATCTCCTAACATAACAATATTTTTATTTCCCTTACACTTCATCTACACCATCCTTATGATCTTTCAAAACTGCTGTCGGATATAAGTAGACTTAGACATGTCTAGGGTGTAGACCCCTAGCACAAACAACTTTTTAAGCCCACTTTCATTCGTATTCATAGCAGTCTCGGGCTTACACATTCATACTCTTTCACACATTGACCCATTCTTTCTGATAGCATGATACCTACTCCCTTCCATGCCCGTTCGGTCTCATCTACACCAGACCAGTTGCGGTATACGTACCCTGTGTGATACATTCTTTCCTTTCCATCTCATCTAATTTACACATAACACATCTATTCTTCTATCATACATCACATCGCATACTTCATCCATCTTATCATTCAATGCACCACATACACTTTTCAGCCCTCCGGGAGCCAGAACGTGACGGGTGGCGAACCTCGTCACCGGTTATCCTCTCGGAGATTGTTTGCACCCCTGCTCCATTAAAAGGGTGCCGGGACTCGGGTCCATTTCTTTTCTTCGATGCCTCATTTAGCAAAACTATGGGGTGGTATATTTAACGTCGTTTCCACACGGCGATGAGCCGAGTCTGTACTAACGGCTTGTCGCTCGTTTAGCACCACCCGGGGAACTAGTGTAGGGTGGGCCAAGGATTAGGTGGTCGATATGCAGAAAAACAGCGTTGGTGATAGCACGCAGCCTTGTGGAACACCAGCATTAATAGACTTATAATCAGAGCTTGCACCGTCTACAACAATCTTGATGCTCCAATCTGCAAGAAAGCTGGTGATCCAATTGCACAATTTCTCGGGAAGCCCATGGTAAGGGATTTTCGAGTGAAGCGCTTTGTACCAAACTCGATCGAAGGCCTTTGCAATGTCCAAACTAACAGCCAAGGGGGAGGCCCTTGGACTCTACTGCCTCCACCCATCTATGAGTCAGGTAGATCAGAAGATCACCAGCTGATCGACCACGACGAAAACCGTGTTAGCGATCACTAATCAGCTGGTGATCCTCAAGGCACCTCATGAGCTGGCAGTTCACAATGGACTCCATTGTTTTGGAGAACAAGAAGGTGATACAGATAGGCCTGTAGTTGGACGGGTCTGAGCGGTCACCTTTTTTAGGGATCGGGTGGACGAATGCCATCTTCCATGATTTTGGGAATACGCCTAGGGAGTAGGAGTAATCTCACCTCCAGCGTGGAGTACACACACCGCGGGATGATCGGCGACATAGTCACCTCGTCATCGAGAGTCGAGTTTGACGCAAAGAATACCAAAAAACAATACCAAAAAAATTAATAAAATAATTTTGAAAAAGGAGTAACATGCTTAAAATGCATGCTTAAAAATTAAATTTATTTCAATTTGGAATTCCAAGCTAAACCTACAGGTAGAACAGCAATTCCATAGGTATAGACCGTATTCCGTATCCGATTGTGAACAGCAACAAGGGTGTGAGACATTTGATACATGAGAAACGTCCGTAATTAAGTTCAATTGTAATGTAATACTAGTAATTATATACGAAACCGATTAGGAACATCATAATTACACAACTTAGACGTTTTCCATAATAAAACATTTAATTATCATTTTATTATGGAATAGACATTTTGAAATATATTGTTCGTGTGCTGTGATCATGAAATATGCAACTCAGTAGTTAGTTTTCAGCTCTTCTTTCTGCTTCCGTATGGTTGGTGAGCTACTAAACAAACGAAAATACTATACAGTGACACTTTCAGTGACCCATTGCAATTACCATACCATAACACATTAAACAGCTAGTTGTCTCTACACGTACCATGTAGTCTTTTTGGGTATACTAAATAAAATATAACATTTATTATATTTTATATCAAAATAAATCAATATATGAAAAAGTCTCACATTAATTTTATATCCTTTCATTCACAGAAATTGTATTTTAATAAAGAGTAATAGTTACCTCAGCGGTACAGTAGGCGGTGAGACATACCACAGGAGCGGAAGCTTTTTGTTCAAACATAAGTAATTTTTTGTAAACTGTGGTGTAATTTTTCAGAAGTCTAAAACAATAACACAAAACACGGATTGTAAGTCATAATCCAACTATAATGTGACATACTTTGTCAAGTACTACCAAAATAATATAACCATAAATAATATACCAAAAAAATAAGTTAACTAAATGGCACTAGTGTACCGTCGCGTCGCTTTATGGTGACCTGTAGGGATATGTCTAGCTGTGGACACAAAATGGGCTCTCATGATAAAGATGATGCTGTTGATAATATTGTAAAGAATTATAACCAATAAAACTTTGCCTCATTAGATTATATTATCACGCATATCCCTCTCTCTCTCTCTCTCACACACACAAGATACAAGAATTGCTCAACCCAAATTACATATATATAGTTCATATTAAAGCAGAACATTCATTAGGTCACACTACTTACTTGTACATTAAATTATGCTCACGTACTATTTCTGTCATTCTAGATTTTATTACTGATATGAACCTCTCAGCCTCTTCTTGATTATTTGGTAATTGGAGCCCCTCCATCAAATCTTGATTCCAAATAGATTATTTCACCAATCCACAATATTTGCGTTTGAAGCATAACTGAACATAATAAATACGTTTTAAAATATGAATTTGATATACCGACAACTAAGTTTTCCTATTTTCCTGCCTCAATTCACTTTCCTAAAAAAAAATAATAGTAAAGATATTTTAGCTTAGTGACTTACATATATAACAATAGGCATAAGCTAATGCACAAAAGTTGGAAAAAGTAAATGTTATTTCATAGAGTGGTGATGCACTAAAATCCGCTTCAAAGAACCAAAATGGAAATAAAAGCGGTCTCTTTGAACCATCTCCTGTTTCGTGAGTTGCAGCGTGCCACAATAAGCAAAGACTTGTAAATATCACAACACCTCCACCAATGCAACTTGTAAAAATTACGGAAAAAATGCACATTTTCCATATTTTTAGTTGATTTTCAAAAAACCTGTCCCTGTGAAATCAAAAGAATGAAAATGTATTGAATATAAACAAAATTAAAATTACGTGAACGAAGTTAAATTAACCTGTATTTTGCCCCTTCTGTGCACACGTATTTAAAATCAGCTCTCAAAGTTCGTAAGAAATCGTGGTATTGCGGTAAGTTTATTATTGTGCATAAAAGCATCAACATTTCATAAAATTGGATAATGAAATAACAACCTCCTTCAGTTATTGTTTGTAAATCATTTATATCGATGCCATGGTACACAGTTAAGGTAAAAAGGCCTAGGACGATAGAAGCACATATAGCCATAATTGTTAATAACAAATATCTGAAATAGGTAAAAAGTTATATAAAAAAGTATAATTTGAAATTGATATGACATTGGCTTACACTTCGATATTATTTTTTGTTGTAATTAGCAGAGGTACATCGTCTCATAGCATCATAATGTCACAAAATACCTGTGACAATCGTCGGCTATAATATTTTTTCACCGACAACCAACCATATGACCATTTTTTTATTTCATTATGTGGTGATAAAGTTTAGTATGCTTTTTAAGAAGATAGTTTTTTAAGTTTTTACTTTATTTAAATAATTAATAAAGAAACTTACGTCCATTTCGGAATAAGTTCATTGTCTAGCACTTGAAAATATTTTAATATATAATAACAAGTATAATGATATTTATACGGATCCACAAATCCGTTTGAACTGTCGAAGTTCTCTTTGTTAAGAAATGCTTTAAATTTTTTCAGCATATTATTTTAAAAACTATATATAAACATAATATTATGCGTATGTTGCAAGTGCCCATCGGATTCACAATGATTATCGAATCTTGAGGCATATATTGCAAATTATTACACAATTACGTATGGACTTAGTTTCTATTGCTATGTTAGTTAATTCAAAGAACCGCAGTAATAGTAAATAATGCAGACAGTGAAACCCGAAAATCGTTGATTAGAATATAACATTCGAATATTTTCGTGAATCACTCTTAGCACATGCATTGTAAACTAAACTGGAGCGGTTTGAGGAAGTATCAGTAGTGTTACAGCAGCGCTATTTTATTTTATTTTTAGATAAAATGATAGGTTCGATATCGTTTTGTCGTTTTTTATAAAAATAAATTGACAAACTAACTTATAACCCACCAGATGCTGAGTTTTTACTTCAGTCCATGAGCACATGCAGGCGCCGACAGTAGACAGGAAAGGCTGCAGACAGATATGTGCCACAACCTACCTGATACAGATACGTTTACCAATGAGGACTAAGATGGACATACCTTTCAGACTAAAACACAGTATTGCACACTCTGATAATTAGCGGTAGAAATATGTAGGTAAAGGGTATGGGAAACCTATACGGACTTCTATACGGTCTATAGATAGAAAAGGACCACCCAGTATACCTGACTGCCTTTACTATCATCTTCTTTTAAGGCGATACCTCTAGCGAACGACCTTGAGCGTTCGGTCAAATCAAATCAAATCTGCAAGACGCCACCTACTGCTACGAACGTAGTATTATTTTTTCAATGTCAATGAACTATTCTATGGAAGTAGACACGGCGTACAATGATAAATGTATTTTAATTTTCTTTATTCGGTATATTAGTTGTATTATATTAGAATTATGTATTCTAATATATTATCTATATAATAAAAATGACTATTTTGATTATTTTTAACTATATACTATACTGCTAATATTGAATTAGCTTTTTATATTGTAAATTATAATATTTGTCGTAATGTTAATTATGGATTCGAACTTTACATGCTAATGGTGCTTAATTTTTGTTATTTTCATTTACTTACATATTGAAAATATACTTGAATAGTAGGTATTATTATTTTATTTAGATACAGAATTTTAGGATATGTTTTACCTTGAGGTCAAATATAATTTTGAGGAGCAACTGTTATTACTAATCTTTTATCAGCTATTCCTTATTTAGGAACAATATTAGTAAATTGAGTTTGACGGAGATTTACTGTTTATAATGCTACATTTATTATTTTAATATCTACCTACTGGGTAAAATAATAAATATGGCATTAGTAACTAAATAGATATTTTTTACCCAATTACAATAACTAATGAGATATTGTGATTATTTGTGATTAGTAATACTGGGTGGGTATTAATAAATAGAACAAAATAAAATGTAAAGTCAATTTTATTATCTTGAATGTAAGAAATTGATTACAAATTTTTTAACTTCCTTAAATTATAAACAAACAGCTGCAGCTATTAAATGAACACATATGTGCATACATACGTCCATATATATAAGTGGTTATGTTTTTTTTTTTTTATATATATATATATATATATATATATAGTACCCGGATGACCGAGCTTTGCTCGTTTTTTTTAAATTACATTTATAAATTACATACTGATGAAACTTAAATAATATTTTTTGATCTTATTGATAGAATAGAAAAAACTGAACTGATTATTTGAATAAAAAATCATGAGTGCAATTAGTTTTATTAAAATTTTTAAATGTATTTATAGCACATAAAAATAAATTAGAACGTGGAATGTGATGATAAGATATCGAAGATTAATAATGTACTTTTAGATGTAGTTTATTTTTCATAACTAATGAGGTAATAGAGTCTGAAAAACGCACTTTCGCAACATTTTGGTCAGGGATACACTTTAATTTTGAAAGTTATTTCCTTTTTTTTTGAAAAATCTATGCAATTTAATTTAATAAAAAGTTTTAATAAGATGTGCACTATGTAATGACATATTGAATAAAATTTATAGTGATGTTATGTATAATGAGATCAGATACGTTTTCTAAAGTATAGACCGTAGAATGAGTATGAACGTACATCAACGCAAAACATAATATATTGTTTTAAAACAATTGAATCAGTATATAGGAACCTAAAACGTGGTTACATGACATTAAAATTAAGACTTTTTAAAAGTGGACCAATTATAACAGCATATAAATGGGATATTCGTATATTTATGAAACACGATATTTAAATAAATATTGTAAACGTTAATAAAACATTTTAAAAGTGGACCAATTATAACAGCATCTAAATGGGATATTCGTATATTTATGAAACACGATATTTAAATAAATATTGTAAACGTTAATAAAACATTCATTGTCAAAATAACAATTCTTCCAGCAATCAGCAAAATCTGTAAATCAAAATCAAGTATGGATTTTACTGAATAAACTCATTATACATCGACACAAAACTTGTATATATTATACTAAAATATCTTCACGCCTGTAATCTCCGAGAGGGTACAAACACAAGAGATCTAAGTGGATCACGTTTAGTAAAAAACATTGTCTTAAAATAAATTATTGTGGTATTCCGCGTATTATAATAATAAAAATTTTCAACAATCAACATAATTAAAAACCAGAGAAAAAATTGATCAAGAGACATATTAACATAAAAGTTTTACATAAATTGATTTCAATACGTATTAAAGCAGTTATACTATTTATAATACTTTTTAAAATGTCTTGTCTTTCATTACGTTCTATAAAGAATATATGATAATTAGATCCACTTTATAGCACATGCTCGCTAACTGTTTGCCTCGGGCTATATTGCGAAATATGTTTAAACGATTATATAGACTAGTTAATTTATACGCATATGATATATCCTGATAATCCGTTTTTATTACAACGTTTTCCTTTTTTAATTAAATTGCTGCGGCAGCTAGAATTTCATATTTCTTGCGTATTGTAATAATAGCATTACTATTTAATAGTTTAATACAATATCATGGAATTGGTTTTTATCCAAAAAAAATTATGTAAGGCATGATCACACTTGCTCTCTACACTGAAAAACTTTCAGTATTACATGACGGTTTGTTCTCTAAATCAGAAACTCAATTAATTTAAATCGCTTCTTCTTACTTCTGGAGATATATGTATCCCGACAAAGTGGAAAATGTAGATATAAATTAAGATTGCCACGTAGTAACCCACAGAGATTTACAAGATCATGCATAAATAATAAAAGGTTTAATAGAAGACAATGTAATGTGAAGTGAAATATGTTAGCTTTTTCGCTAAATAATGCACCCAAAGCACACTTCGGATTCGGGATTCGGGCTCTGGATGTCCTATCATGGAAAATCTATCCGAAAGTCTATTTATATTTCACGACCAGTTAGCATTATGCTAATAATTCACGCTGGTATTCTGTACGCGTGCAGCGTGGTCCTTTCCATATAGACCCGAGCTCTTCGTGTTCCAGCCATAATGGTAGCGTGGTTTTAGCACGTAAAAAATTTTATATTATGATAGAGAACAGCATTATCGGTGTAAGGGTGCTAGCTGTGCTGGAGAAGTTGATAACTTCTCTACCAAACTAGGTGAGGAAAGCCTGTTTTCAGTCATTATCATCATTATTACGTAGGCACATTCGCCAAATGTTTCAGTTTCCTTCTGCCGCCTCTTACGACATGTGCGGGATGATATTGGAAGTTGGATTTTCTTACGCTGCCAATATATGACATGTTTCTGATAGTGGAC